GCGTGGTCTTCCGACATCTGTCCCGAGGCCCGTCCTCCCTCCTGTCCTTTCTGGTCTTGCTTGTTTGTGTCAAAGGCCACAGACCCTGGACAGCCAGACTGAACCCTGGGTCTGCCTCTTCCCCGCTGAGTGATCTGCTTAGCCTCTCCCAAGCCCTGTTTCCTCATCCTTCAAGTGGGGACTCCCCAGCCCAGCCTCCTTCCTCAGGGGGTCCCTGCGAAGGCTCACGCATGAAGGGGTAGGTGGGAGGGTTCAGGAAGGCGTGCTGGAATGGCGGGGCGTGGTTCACAGATGGCACGACGGCGCCATGAAGCCAGAAGACAGCTCTGGCTCGGGCGAATGCCAGGGGATCGCGCGCAAGGCCCAGTCCCCTGCCCCAAAGACATACTTTTTCCTTTTAAGGCAGCGAGCTGGATATTTACATATCGAATTTTAGGGCCTGATTCAAACCGGCCACTGAAGGCATGTGTCTGGGAATCGAGTCCCCAGCCTTGCTTCCCAGTCTTATCAGACTTCTCCACCCCCCACCCCGCTCCGTGCCTCTCCGAGCCCCGCTGCAGGCGCTCACGGAGCATTCCTGTGGCGCACCCGTCTAGGGGCCGGGAGAACCAGTGAGGAAAAGCAGAGCCGGTGGTGATGGCATGTGTGTGTGTGTGTGTGTGTGTGTGTGTGTGTGTGTGTGTGATGGGGAAAGGGGAGTGGGAGGAGAGGACAGGAAGGAAATGATTGAAGACATAAAGCAAAAACTCGGCTGCAGGCACGTGAGGGCCATAGGACTGGGGCATGTGATCAAGTCAGGAGGAAGGTCAATGAAGATGGATTAAGGTCTGAAGGAAGGTGGGAGGGGAGAAGCATTCCAGGCGGAGGGAACAGCAGGTGCAAAGGCCCTGCGGCAGAGGAGTCTGATGCTGAGGAGAAACAGGAGAACTCTTCCTCCTGCCTGCCTCCTGTTCGTCCCTCCCCGGGGGCACCTCCTTCCTGCATGGCTCCACAGAGAGGCGAGAAGCCTCTCCGTTCTTCAAAATGCCTCCGCTTCCCAGAAGCCTTCCAGGGTGTGCCTTTCTGCCACGCCCCAGGAAGAAATGGTCTCTCCTGCCTATGATCTCCCTCGCCTCCCTGACCCCTCCGTGGGCCTGCCTCCATGCCATTTTGTATATAGACTCTGCCCAGGTCTCATCTTCCAGCCAGGACATAAATCCATGAGGGCAGGCACTGACTTCTCCAATGTAGACTCAGAGTCACCTGCTCCCAGGTTTAAATCCTAGTGTAGGCTATTTAGGGCTGGGACTCAGCATAAAGGATTCTGCTTCTCTGGACTTCCATTTCCTCATCTGGCCAAGGGGATACTGCGGGGAGGGCCTGGCGTGGCAGCACAGTTCCCGGCTCGGCTCTGGGCATCCCTGAGAGTGGGGCGTGTCAAGGGGCTTGGAGCAGAGGAGGGGGAGGGGGAGTTATGACCTAGAAAGCCTCAGGGATGGAGGGCTTAGATGCCCTTAGATCTGAGTTTCCCACACTTGTCTGATAGCAAGGAACATTTGAGCCGCTTGATAGAAATGCAGATTCCCACTCACTCCTGGGGTTCTGACTCAGCAGGTCTGGGGCGGAGTCCAGAACCTGCATTCTGAAAAGCTCTCCTTTAGTGCTGATGCACGGTTTGGTGGGGGGAATGAGGCCCGGAGGGGGGCGTGCCCTTCACGAGTGTGATAGGATGGATCCGTTACCTTCCTTCTTCCTCTCTGTAACAGGATTATGCACCCACACGCTTGGCCATGGACTCTGCAGGACTCATGTATGTGGGAGACTGCACCACCAGCTGAGACATGTGTTTGTGTGGTATGGCTTGGCCCGCCACGTGTGCTCCCACTATTCACCAGGAGAGAGAAAGAAGCCTGGGGGCTGCTGATCCAACGAGAGTGAGGAGCCATGTGGAATAGGCTGAATCCAGCCCACGTTCTGGAGCCCTGCCCGGCACAGCCTGTGCCGAGGAGCTAAACCCTAGCTGACCCGCCGACGAGCGAGTGAGAAAACAAACGTTTGTTGTGGCAAATAACTGAGCGGTGGGGCGTTTTTGTTATGCAGCATTACGGCAGCAACAACTGACTAATACACGAAGGTCACCCAGCGAATGCATGGCAAAGCTGGGATTCAGACTCAGGTTCCCTGCTCCTAATCCAGTGCTAGTTTCTTACTGCATCTGCCCCTCAATCCTGGGGGCTCCTTGGGCACCTTCCTCTCTGAAAGCCCCTCACTTCTACTCTGCCCCACCTCTGTTCTCTGGGAGCTTCCAGCACCAGACAAGAGGGCTCCATCCCAGTAGCCCAGACTACATCCTTGCTGCTAATATGCCAAGGCTTCTTGAGTAGGCAGTCCCACCCTCAGGGATCCCAAATGGATTCAGGGAAAGCCTCCCCACCTTGCCCCACAAGGGAAAGAAATCCAGGGGCCCTGGGGAATTCTGGCTTCTCCCAGCTGAAAAGAGTCCCCTCCCCTCCACTCCCCCTGGGAGCCTGGCTTCCCTGCCTTGGGGCTTTGTCAGGCGGGAGACACTTTGTCAGGCGGGAGACAGCGGAGGCATCACTATCTGTGAGGTGTCTCTGCCAACAGCTGCTGGCTTTTGAGGTTCTCTCGGATTGCCCACCTCGAGTCAGCTCCATCCGGACCCCAGTCTGAGCGGCACTTTGATGCACCCATGGCCCCTGGAGAACTGCAGGCACACGCTCAGAAACATGCCTGCTCAGCCTCAGCGATACCACAAACACTCACAAACAAAACCACACTCCTCCTTCTCAGACACACACACACGCACACACACACACACACACACACAGACAGGCAAACCACTCTCAGACATACAAACTCATGTTCAAACACACCCCCACCATGTCCCTCAGATCCAGACACACCCACACTCAGGAATGCGTGTATCAGTAAGAAGTCGCCCACCAAAGTCACATGCAATCACACACATATATACACACACACAGTCACCCAAACAATAGGACATACCCACACCTTCTCCAAATACACTCCCTCACACGCACCATCAGACCCACAGTCACACTCAAGGCTCCTTGGACATACCCTGGATTAAGTGCAAGCACTGGAGTCTGTTAGACGCAGTTAATTCCTATCTCATATCTTCTTGCTTTGTGACTCTACTTTTCTGAGCGTCATCTGTAAAATGGGGACACAGATGCCTCCTACTCAAGGAGACCAGGGGGATGCAGTGAGGTCAAGCTTGGAAAGCACCCCTCAATCAGGTGGAGCTGGTTGCCCTCTCTCCTTCCATGTCCTAGGCGTGCCCTCCCTACTCCCTGAATTCCATTTCTTTCTTTTTTTTTTTTTAATATATATTTTATTGATTTTTTACAGAGAGGAAGGAAGAGGAATAGAGAGCCAGAAACATCGATGAGAGAGAATCATTGATCAGCTGCCTCTTGCACACCCCCTACCGGGGGATCTGCCCTCAGCCAAGGTACATGCCCTTGACCGGAACCCGGGACCTTTCAGTCCGCAGGCCGACGCTCTATCCATTGAGCCAAACCGGTTTTGGCAGAGTTCCATTTCTTTTGATGGCTCCTTTCAAATTTCTACTGGGCCTTTAACCTACAGGTCAAACCCTGCCTCCTAGGACGGTGGTCGGCACACTCATTAGTCAACAGAGCCAAATAGCAACAGTACAATGATTGAAATTTCTTTTGAGAGCCACATTTTTTCAACTTAAAGTTCTTCTAAGGCCACTTCTTCAACACAGACTCGCCCAGGCCGTGGTATTTTGTGGAAGAGCCACACTCAAGGGGCCAAAGAGCCGCATGTGAACTCGTGAGCCACGGTTCGCCGACCATTGTCCTAGGACAAGCCTCGCCACACCTCCACCTCTGCATCCCCCTGAACGGGAAGCTGGAGAGCCGACTCATTCTCTTTCTTGGAGCCTGGCCACCCTGGTTCCCTCTGAGACAGGATCCAGATCACACCCACAGCAGGGCCTGGGCAAAGATTGTTGAGTGAATAACCGAAGGACACAGTCACAGTGCCAACCACAGAGTTCTCAACCCACTGGCACGTACGGTCCTTGAAAGTCTCACGTGGCCCTTGGTTGGGGGGGATGAGGCTGCAAGTGTCTCCTGGACCTGGCCACACGGAGGTCTCCGGGGACCCTGAGGACAGTGGTCTTGGTGGAGAGAAGGGACCGGACACCTACGTGGACTGGACTGAAGGGGAAGAAAGGGCTGGGGTGAGAGTGCATTGTTTGGCAACGTATTCTGCTGTGCAGGAAGGCAGGGTGGAAGATGGAGGGGGGCATGGGGCCACAGAGAGGATTATTAAAGGTGGGCGTCGGGAGAAGAGTTTGGGTGTAGTTAGATGAACTGGGCTACAGGTTCAAAGAAAGCACCAATAGGATCTGCTAGAGGTCCACCCTCCGCTGTGACGGAGGCAGAGAATATGCCTCCTCTGTGGCTCGGTGACCCCACATGACCAAGTTCCTTCCTGTGGACGGTGCACAGAAGTGATGCACCTCTGCCCTCCTTGCTTAAAACACTGTCGCTGCCCAGGTCTCCTCCCTCCCGCCCTTCCTGCAGGCCGGAGCACAGACATGCTGACTCAGCGTTGCCCACAGAGCAGCAGCGGGGTGAGACAACAAGACGGGAGGGGTCCCTGTCCCTGGATCTCCAGGGATCAGAGCTGGCCCTGCGAACCTGACTGACCTCCTACTTGAGAGAGAAAAGCTTTGCTGTCCCCACAGCCACCCGGCCCCGGACCCTTTTGTTACAGCAGCTTCACTTTCACGTTCACTCACACACGTACAACAAGTGACAGCAACGACCAGAAGCACCACCACAAGGATCACGCCCTCCCAGGTGGCAGGCTCACACACTCAGCCTTCGAAGGGAGGAAACCTCAGGTGCGAGGGCGTCTTGAACGGAGGCTGGCAGGACACCCCGTGGGCACAGCGTGGCGCCCGGCCCTGCCCCCCGGGAGCCTGCCTCGGGAGCGCGTACCTGCTTGGTTGGTGGTGATGTTCACGGAGGCGAACTGCGGCGAGAAGGGGCTCTGGTCGGTGACGCCGTTCACGGCCTGGATCTCGAAGGTGTACTGGGTGTGGGCCAGCAGGTCGCTGATGTAGACGCGGGGCTCCGTCAGGCCCAGCTGGCGGGGCGCGTACTGCACGTTGTCCCCGCAGCGGGTGCAGGCGCCCCGGCCCGAGCCACAGCTCTTGCAAATGATGTTGTAGACGAGATCCTCCCGGCCCCCCGAGTCGCGGGGCGGGGTCCATTCCAGCATCAGGGAGGTCTCGTTGACGCTGGAGATCACGGCCTGGGGTGCAGAGGGGATGGCTGTGGAGGGGGAGGAGGGCCGGTCAATGGGGGGCGCTCTGGGGGTACATTCCTGCCCCGGCTCCAGCCCACGCCTCCCAAAAGGCTTCCTCCTTCCAAGGACTTTCTCCTCTTCACCCGCCCGAGAGATGTTTCTAGAACATAACTCTCATCCCGTTGCACTTCTGCTTAAACTCTTCTCCCTGGATGCCAGCCTCCTTGGTGTTTGTTACGAGGGACAGTCTTTTTTGTGTTGGGGGTTATGCCCACCCAATATCTACTTCCCTTTTCCCCTTATAACAGAACCCAACTTTATTCAGGCGGCAATACGTCCCGCTGGGAGACTATTTCCCTGATGGGGTGCTGGCTACGAATTGTAGCAGAAGTTGTTGGTTAGGACTTTTTTTGTTCTTTTTTTTTTTTTTTTTAATAAATCTTTATTGTTCAGATTATTACAATTGTTTCTCCCCCCCCCCCCCCCCATAGCTCCCCTCCACCTGGTCCCCACTCCACCCTCTGCCCTTACATCCCCCCTGCCCCCCCCCGCCCTCACCCCCCTCTGTCCTCATCCATAGGTGTATGATTTTTGTCCAGTCTCTTCCCATACCCCACACACAGACACCCCTTTCCCCCTGAGAATTATCAATCCCCTCCCATTCTATGCCCCTGATTCTATTATATTCACCAGTTTATTCTGTTCCTCAGATTTTTAATTCACTTGACTTTTACATTCACTTGTTGATATGCATTTGTTGTTCATAATTTTTATCTTTACTTGTTTCTTCTTTTTCCTCTTTTTAAAGAACACCTTTTGGCATTTCATATAATACTGGTTTGGTGGGAGTGGCAAGAAATACTCAAAATGATGAATAGCGAGAACCTACAACCAAGATTACTCTACCCAGCAAAGCTATCATTCAGAATTGAAGGGCAGATAAAAAGTTTCACAGATAGAAAAAGCTAAAGGAGGAGTTTTTCTTAAAAGGAGGCAGCTGCAGAACATCCCTTTATCCCTTCCCTCCTCCCTGCGGCCTAGACTGTGTGTGATGGCTGGCGCCTCGGCAGCAATGCTGGACTACGAAGGGACCCGAAGGACAGAAACCGCGTGCTGGGGATGGCAGAGCAGACGGGGAGCTGGGTTCCAGAGAACCCCCTGGGTTCCCCATGCTCTCCCGACACTGCCTACGCCCGGGCTTCTGTTATCAGGAGAATAAACCCTTGTGGTTTCTGCCTCGGGGGCCAGCTCTGTTACCAGCTGTCCCTGTGGGAGGCAGGGGTTGTAACACTGCCCTCGGACTCACCCTTCCTTGGAGAGCCGGGCCTGCACCTCAGGCAGGGCTGCCAGGTTAGAACCCCGGGCAGCCTTTTCTGGCACCGACACCACCTGTGTCAGTTCTTTCTCTGCCAACCCTGCCATCGTCTGTCCTTTTGTAAATCCAGACCCTGACTTTATCCTCCCTGTGACTGGCTTCACGGAAGGGGGCAAGGAGCCAGAGGCCAGCTCCACGGCATCAGCACATTGGCAGCATGACCACCCCAGGGACTGCCCCCGATAGTCCTTTTCCAACCAGTTTTCCACCCTGTCTCCCTCCCGTCCCCCCCACCCCCCAGGTCCTCCTCACTCAGGAAAGGCTGGCTGTAGCCGGACAGCCACCCAGCCTTCGCTCTGGACCTCTCTGCGGGAGACTGGACTCAGGCACCGCCCTCGAGGGGCCCCCGACGTACTTGTGCAGGGCATGTCCAGCGGGTCCAGGTCCGCTCGGTAGTAGCCGTTGCGGCAGACACAGTTGGTGGCCCCTTCGGAGGTAGTCCGGCTGTTGATGGGACAGTGGGTGCAGGCCTCGTCCCCCTGGTTGGCCTTGAAGGTTCCAGATGGGCAACCTGAGAGAGAAGACAGAGAGAGTGGAACAACCGTACAACTGGTTGCTATGACGTGCGTGGACCACTAGGGGGCACATGAAGAACATGGCGGGCTTCGGCCACAGCAGGATGGTGGAGCAAGTGAGCAACTAGTGGACTCGGAGAGGACCCCGCAGTCTCATGGAGGGGCACCAGAAGAATCACGAGGGGCCAGGAGGCCGGTGGGAGGGGCCACGCAGTATCATTGCTGAGAAACACCATCTCCCCCACGAGGCAGTCCTAGCTGTGCCAGGAGGTCCCAGGTGCCTGCTTTCTTGTCTCTAAAGCTGCCTATGTGTTCAGCTGGGCCACTGGCAAGCCTTCCTTACCCAATCCAGGTCAGCTGTGCCATAGCTCCTAGGACCAACCCTGACGTAGCCTGAAGACTCTGAAGAGGCCGATGGCAGTGCCCGAGGCCAGTCTCACTTACCAGTGGCTGGCCCCGGGTTCTAGATGACTGAGGCAAGCCCTGGCACAGTGCAGAGCACGGAGAGAGGCGATGTGGTCCAGCAGGCAAGACCACTGGCTTTGGACGCAGACAGACCTGGGTGTGAGTCCCAGTTTGGCCTTGTACTAGCTGTGTGGCCCTAGACAAGTGGCTTAACCTTTCTGAGACTCAGCTTCCTTACTTGCAAAATTATGATTCTAAGGCCCATTTCTGCGGGCCATTGTGGGCCTTTGGTGTAAGCGTGTAAAGTACGTGACATGAGGTATAGGTGCCGGATGAATAGTAGTGGTTATAAAAGGTGTTTGATCAATTTACTACATAAAGGGCTCCGAAGTACCAGGGACAGCCTGAGGAGGGCAGTGTTTGCACTTGGTGGGCACGGAGCCCTCTGGGATCTCACAGGGTCTTTGGCCTTTCTTCCCTGCTCTGGGGGATGCTGAGGATTTGGGTCCAGGCCCAACAGCTCAGGCTTCGGGCCTACAAGAGGTCATCCCTCCTGTGTGGGCCTGTGGGTCCTTCCTTCTGGCCCTGGCTTGGGAATCAGGAGGCCTAGGCTCCAGGCCCTGTCCCTCTCCTGGCCTGTTCCTTCCTCCACCCCCTGGGGTTCAGCATCCCAGCTCTGCTGTGGTGCCGTGGGGGGCGGATCATGCAAGGTGCAGGTGAGAAGGTGGACAGGGAAGAGCTGGGCAAGGGGCAAGTTCCTCCTTGGGACGAAATGCAGCTAAGCTGTCCACTGGCCTGGGCTCTCACCTGATCCCATTCCAGGCTGGAGTCCTGTGTGAGCTCTGGCCAGGAACCCACCTCTCTGAGCATCCCTTCCTCCCATGTGGAAGGCTAACATACATTTCCCAAATCGTTTTTCCAGCCGCAGACTCCGAGCGTATCTTTCAAGTCCAAGGCTTAGCCAATCACTCCTCAAGGGGTCTCCTGGCCCTGCCTTCAGCTCCCCCGGGGTCGGAGCAATGTCTGGTTCGCAGCCCCGCCCCTGTGCCCAGCACAGAACCTGGTAGTCAGACGCTCCATCTCAATGCTTCTAGAAACTGCCTGCTGACGAGGAAAGAGCTTGGACGTTGGAGGCCTTGCACGTAGCAAGGCAGTGAAGGGCGGTGGTCAGCAAGCAGGCTGCCTGCAAACCCAGCTCCACCCGTGCCACCAGTGTGTCCTTGGGCAAGTCACCTGAGCTGTTCCCTCACCTGTAAAACGGGGACAATAGTACCTACCGCCTAGGGTCGTGGTGAGGAGGACATTTGGTTAATTTAGGCAAAAATGCCTAGAACAATTCCTGGCATTATTAAACTAGCTGGTTCAAATACCAATCTGCTGGGTGACCTCAGACAAGTAGTTCGACCTCTCTGAGCTATAGTTTTCTCATTGGGAAGAGCATCTACTCCCTCACGTGGCTGTGAGTATTGCAATCGACGAGCAGCACTGGCCCAGGGTTGGGAGGGGTTAGGGGTTGCAGTCACGATCTCAGGGCTTGCCGCTAGAACATGCGCCCCCCCACCCCAGCACTTTGCAATCAGCCTAACCAATATCCCCCTGGGGGTGCCTCTAACTGACCGGCCCAGTCTTAAAGGAGCTGCCAGGTGTGACAGACTCGGACACACCGGCCCGGCTGGCGCGACACCTGCAAGGATGGCGGCGGCGCCTCTGGGAGGGGGTGTTGGCTTCCACGGCACCGCTGGGGCACGGCTCTGGAGCATGCGTGGGAGGCGGCCGGCGTGTCCTGAGTCCTGATGAAATGCTGGGCTGTTGTAAGGACGTAACTCGTAATAACTCATCTGACCCTCACCCTGACCGTGACGGGGTGATGTTATCACCCCCGTTTTCAGATGGGGAACCAAAGCAGAGGCGAAGTAACTTCCCAAGTGGCAGAGCGGGATTCGATCCCAGGTGGTCTGACTCTAGGGGCCACTTTCCTAACCACTACACCACACCACACCACACCACACACACAACACACACACCACACCACACACTCACCACACACACACCACACCACACACACCACACACACCACACCACACACACACCACACACAGCACACACACCACACCAAACACACCACACCACACACACAACACACACACACCACACACTCACCACACACACCACACACACCACACACACCACACACTCACCACACACACCACACACACCACACCACACACACCACACACACCACACACACCACACACACACCACACCACACACACCACACACACCACACACTCACCACACACTCACCACACACACACACCACACACCACACACTCACCACACACACCACACACTCACCACACACTTACCACACACACACCACACACACCACACACTCACCACACACACACCACACCACACACACCACACCACACACTCACCACACCACACACACCACACACACCACACCACACACACCACACACACCACACACACCACACACTCACCACACACTCACCACACACACCACACACACCACACACACACCACACACACCACACACACCACACACACCACACACACCACACACTCACCACACACTCACCACACACACCACACACACCACACACACACCACACACACCACACACACCACACACACCACACACACCACACACACCACACACTCACCACACACTCACCACACACACACACCACACACCACACACTCACCACACACACCACACACTCACCACACACTCACCACACACTCATCACACACACCACACACACCACACACACACCACACACACCACACACACCACACCACACACACCACACACACCATACACACACCACACCACACACACACCACACACACCACACACTCACCACACACTCACCACACACACACACCACACACCACACACTCACCACACACACCACACACTCACCACACACTCACCACACACTCACCACACACACACCACACACACCACACACACCACACACACCACACACACCACACACACCACACCACACACACCACACCACACACACCACACACACCACACACACCACACACACACCACACACACACCACACACACCACACACTCACCACACACACCACACACACAACACACACACCACACACACACCACACACACACCACACACACCACACCACACCCACCACACCACACACACAACACACACACCACACACACCACACACACACCACACACACAACACACACACCACACACACCACACACACACCACACACACCACACACTCACACACTCACACACACACACACCACACACACCACACCACACACACAACACACACACCACACACACCACACACACACCACACACACACCACACACACACCACACACACACCACACACACCACACACTCACCACACACACACCACACTCACCACACACACCACACACACCACACACACACCACACCACACACACCACACCACACACACCACACACTCACCACACACTCACCACACACACACACCACACACCACACACTCACCACACACACCACACACTCACCACACACTTACCACACACACACCACACACACCACACACTCACCACACACACACCACACCACACACACCACACCACACACTCACCACACCACACACACCACACACACCACACCACACACACCACACACACCACACACACCACACCACACACACCACACACACCATACACACACCACACCACACCACACACACCACACACTCACCACACACTCACCACACACACCACACACACCACACACACACCACACACACCACACACACCACACACACCACACACACCACACACACCACACACTCACCACACACTCACCACACACACACACCACACACCACACACTCACCACACACACCACACACTCACCACACACTCACCACACACTCATCACACACACCACACACACCACACACACACCACACACACCACACACACCACACCACACACACCACACACACCATACACACACCACACACACCACACACACCACACCACACACACCACACACACCACACACACCACACACACACCACACACACCACACACACCACACACACCACACACACCACACCACACACACCACACCACACACACCACACACACCACACACACCACACACACACCACACACACACCACACACACACCACACCACACCACACCACACCACACACACCACACACTCACCACACACACCACACACACAACACACACACCACACACACACCACACACACACCACACACACCACACCACACCCACCACACCACACACACAACACACACACCACACACACCACACCACACACACCACACACACAACACACACACCACACACACCACACACACCACACACACACCACACACTCACCACACACACACCACACACACCACACCACACACACCACACACACCACACCACACACACCACACACACCACACACACCACACACACCACACACACCACACACACACACCACACACACCACACCACACACACCACACACACCACACCACACACACCACACA